CCTATCGGGGCACGAATGATTTGGAAACAGTCCGTTGCTAAATATTGGTGCCACTATAGCTTCAAATTTTGGCTCAACACCTCTACACAATAGCGGTAAATTGTGCGAATTCAGCTCGTGCAAGATTACGATTTACAGCAATACGCTAGCAAATATATGTAAACGAATATCAGTACCACGAAGGTGAGTGATTAGTGGTCATAAAAGGTGAGTGATTAGTGGTCATAATAAGCTGAGGAACGTATACACTTGCTTCTTTATTGGTGGCAAATTTTGATGAGAAAAATCGGTTAAAAATGCGGGAATCGGGTGTGTAACTCTTGTGTTATTATCTACTCTTGAAGAAACGCATAGCCAGTTTGCACATGAACAAATATATAACAGCTTTATTTCGATTGCTAGTAGACAGACTACAAACCAAAATAACATATTTATCCGACATTGGAATACATCTGCAGATGCACACGAGTGATTCTAACCGCAACACGCGTAAAGTGTTATAAACTGCAAAGCCAAAACAATTGCTTGACATTTAGCTGAAATGCAAAAAAAAATTAAAAGTGCAAAACAACAGAGTATGCAGAACGATGGTATTTGTACAGTACAAGTAGCGACCTCTTCCATGCCAGTTCCTTCAAGCATAAAAAGCATAGTATGCGTGTCTTTTTAAAACAAGGTGTATCCTCATATATATTTAGTCCAACATGAAACAACTCTTTCATACAATGGATTTTTGCAATGCGAAGTTAGAAGGGGCAAGTACTTAAAAGGGTTGTGAGGAATTCAGGAAGATGTGCAGGGCTATTTCAGTCTCCATGCAATGATGCAAACAAAGCTAATCCTTTCTAAAGCTACTAGTACTACTAAGAAGAGCTGTACGTTATTCAGCATGCTGCTTTACACTTGATAGTTGCACAAGGCCAAAACAAAATATAGGTGTGGTTACGGTTTCCCGATGACCCTATTTATTCCCAGCGACCCTAAACATTTTATTCAGTTTTAAAAATTAAAAATTAAAAAAAATTAAAAAATTTTAATTAACATTTTTTCCAGTTCCTGCTTCAAAAGGCACAACGCACATCCTTCGGACATGGTTCGTAAATAAAATATTTCAAGAAAATAAAACGTTTTCCCTACCTACCTACCCTATTTTTTTCCGGCATGTAATGGTAACCACACATATTTTGTTTTGGCCCAATCGCAAAATTACCCCTACAATTTCAACACTGCACTGCGGCATTGTAGGATTGTGCACAACAATACACAACTATAATATTCCCTAACTAACTAATGTTAAATCTTATAGAGCAATGACACCGGACTTGATGTCACATTTAGGTCACACACTAGGAAGGATCCAAGGCCCAGGCCACTAGACAGAAAACCAGTTCTTAAAACAAATAAAAAACCCACGTTTTTCTAGACGGTTCTGCAAAGCTCAATGTAAAATGAGCTAGAATTGAACATGTAGAGCAATGTTTAACAGTTTTTAAAAGTTACATATATGGTGAATACTATGTATATATGTCCAGGACTGGGGCTACCACTGTAAGTTGTAACGTCCTAGAATTGTAATGCAAGTACTGTATCTGTAATGATACAGACTGATAAACTCTACATAATATATCCGCTCGCATGAATGTAAGTAATCATTTATATTAGCTAATCCTAATTCTAAAATCAGCTATAGTATAAAGTAACCTAAGTAAGGCTATGTGATATACACAACAGGTTAAAGTCAGACAGATGCACATTACGCAATTACACAACAACTTATAAACTGTTGCTTTTTTAATATGTGCCTACGAGTCAAGAAACAGGCGGTGCAGGGATGATAAGTTATCCAAGGGCTTCACGAAAGTCTAAGACGAGGTTTAGTGCGTGTGAATTTGGTAATATGCCTAGAGGAATTATTCAATCAGAGGCAACCAACATGAACATGATGGGATATAAGCCTGATCAATATAACCCAACCATAGTTACATTTAAATTTTCTTTAAAAGGAGCTCAGTCTATTAAAATCACAAATCTAACTCATGTTCAAAATGCACTAGTTAAGTTGCAGTTTGACAAAATCTTGTTAATTAACTGGCAGGCAAGTTGAAGTACTTACTATAAATTGATCACGGTACTAGAGAGATTATAGTGTACATCATATTTGGCAGACCTTATCGGGGATTCTGTTACGCAGTTTTATTTCAATTTTTTTTATTGTATTTTCATTGAAAGAATAACCAAACGTAGACCAAATTTTCACAAATTATGTGGGTGCGAATATCATGCTCAAGGTAATAGAACTAAGTGCAAGGTATCAGATGGATTGCAAATTGGAAATGCATGACAATTTCATATTGCGATTGTAAGTCTCCAAAATAACTATTAATCCCAACTAATTCTGCCAGACTATAATTTATAAACAGATAGCAAATAGCAGGTTGATGAATGACTAAATGCAAAAGCATTACCGTAACTGCTAATGCGCTAAATGTAATTTCAGCACATGGCTGTTTCATAGAACTCAAGGTTTCTTCCCATACACACCTGCACGTATGTATGTATGTGATCAGACGGAACTGCAACAAGTATTTAAAAATACAATTCTTCAGATTCTGGTACTTCTAAATTGCAACTTCCATACATGTACAAGCCAGCTCAATCCGAATTTCTATTTCTGTGTTCTACTCCAACTGACTATTTCTATTTATAATATTCTGTTCACAGAAGCACATATCGACTTACCAAGAACTGTATTGGAAATCGACAACCTGCTACAAAGTCAGGAAGTATAGTTTAGCATTACTATAAGCTGTCATTTGTGTCTAATACTATAGCTGTTACCAACTAACATGCATATTATATAACCACATACAGGAGTAGAAATTAACTTTTTAACAACAGACTCCCTGCCGTCAAAACGAAACGAGGAGGCGAAACGTCAGCTGTACGTTTTCAATCTTCACGGTTGAGTAACAATTAACCCAGATAGATCTTTCTTTAAACATTTGCTGAAAAAAAACGGTAATTCCGTGAGGCCATGCTCTGGAACGAACTAGTTAGTATATTTTCAGGGAGTCACACAGACTCTTGCATATGTCAAATCAGGGAGTCCGACAGTAAATCATGGCGTATGACTTGCATTAATTTCGCACCCTGCATATGTATTACTACCTACAACAATACATGTTTTATTTTTTCCAGCATCAACATTTCACCATTTTTACTATAGGTCGTACCTATGGCTATGGCCTCAGCACTGGCCAAAATAAAACATTAAATCTAACACTTACACGTATGGGCATACATGTATGTGTTTTTAACCACATAATTTTTAGTCCCTAAAGTTCAATGGCCCATATTACTAACAGAGAGACAATGTTAACCAAATAGACAAAACAACACTGTAGATTTTAGTAGAAATTGCAAAAAGTACTTCAAAACTGCACTGTGGCATTGTGTAGGATTGTGCACATAAATACACAACTATATTCGCTGACTAACTAATTCATGAGAAATCTTATAGTGCAATAACACCTCACTTGAAAGTCACAATTAGCAGCAGTGAAAAAAATACACGGGGGCTCGGGGCGATTTAGCCCCCGAAATGCCAAAAAGAGCCCCGGAAATGCCAAAAAGAGCCCCCGTAAATTTGCATAGAGTTCAATGCAAACCAAATTTTAGAGTGCTATTTTCATGCACGCGAGCTTGAAAAATAGCCCCCGAAAAATAAATTTTAATTTTTTCCCTGAATTAGGTCACACACAGGAAGAAACCACTCGAATTATGATCAGACCACTAGACAGAAAATTAGTTCTCAAAACAAATGACAAATCCCATGATCAGTCTCCTACTCGGTTCTGCAAAGCGGAATGTAAAATAGACTAGAAATTAGAATGGTACCTATGGCTATGCTTAGTGGTGCTGATAGGGTCTATGTCCCCCAGGGTACTGCCGGAACGTACCCTGGGTACGGTCCGGTATACTGGAACGTACCCTGGTACTAAATACTACTATCTAATATGCCAGACCGTACCTCGCCTACTCCAATAACGAGTCTAGGGAGTCGCCTACGCCTACTCCCTAACCCTAACCCAAACCCTAACCATATCAGCTAGATAGTTACCAGGGTATCCAGGGTACGTTGCGGCAGTACCCTGGGGGACATCTAGACCCTATGAGCCTTAAGCGGGCAGCACACTTCACCATTTTCGTTGCTCGTACAGGCAATTTTCGTGGTCGCCACAAAAATGGTCAAGTGTGCGGGGGCCGGCAACGACCACTCGCCACGGAAATTTAGTGGTGACCACGAGTTGCCGAGAATCAAACCGGTTTGATTTCTCACCACGAAAATTGCTCGTGGTGGCAACTTGTGGTGAAGTGTGCTGTGACGCGGCAACGGCCACAAAAATTACCGACCACGAAAATTGCCTGTACGAGCAACGAAAATGGTGAAGTGTGCTGCTAGCCTTAGTGGCAAGTAGCGTTAAAACTTATGGTTAACAATCCATGGTTGACAAACTTGAAGAATACCTAATAAATAAATCACTTTAATTAAAAAGAAATAAAAAAGTATAAGTAAATGTTAAGAGGTTATAGCAGAGTTTTTTTTATAGTTTTATGGCAGTGATTCAAATGCCAATGCTCATGCAACTAAGGTTATGCACTTGAAGCATGTAGCAACCCTTTAATACGCTTTATTGGTACAGTTTGGTTTTGCACTTTATATCAGAACTGATGAACCAGGGTGATGAACCAGTGAATAATGAATTAATACACACTGGGCAGAAGTCAACACCGAGAATTCCGTCGGTAGCTCGATGTAAACTCTTTTGGGAGTTTAAAGCAGTCACAATTCAGTTTCAAAGTCATTTGGCAGCAACAAAACGCGACTGCAAAACTATCGGCGCGCAACTCTCAACAGTGATTACATAACTTCACAAGGCCTGCTGGCGACTCAAATAGTGGGTCTCTAATTAAAGGTAAGTGTTTTGCATCGACAGTACCTTTGGGTCCTTCTCGTAGTAGTATTGCTGGGTGCGGATCCATCGTCCAACCAAATGATCTCTCACCGTATAGGCAAGCGCGAAAAAATAGTCGCGAGGAGTGGCAACATTTCTGTCTTTGACCAGAGTGTAGTGAAGGTGTCGGTTAAAGGTCTTCTTTACGCCAGCTACATTCTCTACTTGTGCAATTCCGCGCACACTAATTTGCTTTCTCTTGTCGTGATCTGACAGAGGTGAAGCAGCCATTGCAACCGAGATTTACCCAGGAGCAAAAAGCAAAAACATCCAACGCTCCTCAACGACGGCGAATACGGAGAACGAGCGAAACCCTGGGCCGATCTATCACGCCGGTGGTTTTTCGAACGTGGTGATGTTGCGACCTTGATATAACAACAAATGTTTAAATCTAGTTAAAACAAAAATGTTTAAATCTTACGAATAATAACTGAAATTTAGAAAGTATGAAAAAATGTGTTTTTTGGTGTATTTCATATTATTATCGGAATTAAAAAGATATTATACATTTAACCTAGGTGGCGCCAAGTGGCCGAGGTGATGGCGCCGCTAAGAAGAGTTTGTTGATTTCAGCAGGTGTTTAGTTCAAGTAGAAGAAAAGTATATACATGAATATATTGTTCTCATGTTCAAGTTTCATCTTAACTTTCACATGTGTGTAGTTTTTTTTGAAAAAGATTATTTCATGCCAGCATCACATTTTCCCTGAATTAATTAATAAATTATGTTCGAATATATATTATTATTAATTATTATTGTTGTCCAACTTATTCAAGTTATTGTTGGTATTGTTAACGAGCGTATTGTTAAACTTAATGTTAGTTGTTGATGTAACGACTAACGTTTACACAGCCACAGGCACTTGGAACGTTTCAATAATAAAGTGATGGTAAATAAACACGAACGCCACTATGTCCAAACTACAGTACAATTATGTCCAAAGTACAAAAATATAGAGCAGATGGGAAAGCGTTGGTGCCAAGTTTGCACAACACTGTCTTAATTTCACACCATCACAGCAAAAGTAGATACCAAAATGGAGGCGGTTTGTTGTTTATTTGTGCTGTGATGGTGTGAAACGAAGTGAGCATTGTGCAAATTTGGCACTCTATATTTTTGTTGTCTGTGCGCAGTGGTGTTCCTGTGGTGAACGTGTGTTACAGAGGAGCATTTGAAGGGCATTTACGCTCATAGGGTCTATGTCCCCCAGGGTACTGCCGGAACGTACCCTGGCTACAGTCTGGTATACCGGAACGTACCCTGGTCACTTATTGGTGAGGGTATGGTCAGGGTTAGGCATGGGTTAGGGCTCGTTTCGGGTTAGGGTTAGGAGTAGGCGTAGGCGACTCCTAGACTCGTCTATGAGTAGTAGGCGAGGTACGCGCCGGCATATTAGATAGTACCAGGGTACGTTCCGGTATACCGGACCGTACCCAGGGTACGTTCCGGCAGTACCCCGGGGGACATAGACCCTCTCAGCGGCATTTACAGGAAACTATTAGTATTACTATATTAAATAGGTGAAAGAGATTAGAGAAACATTAAGACTTTTGTAGTAAATACATTTTGTGTTTATTTACCATCATTTTATTATTGAAATATTGCAAGTTCCTGTGAATGTTTAGATTTGAAGCAGGTATTTTCGGGACATTGAACAATAAACAACAAGACAGCACAGTGTATACTTGGCAGCAATAGCAGTTTGATGATGTCACGGGGCGAATTTGAGCAAAACTCACAAATAATAATCTATTTAAGTATAATCATTAACTACTAAACAGGGTTTCTTCTGAGGGAAAATTAGACAAAGGAGGTAATGGCCAGTTTGGGAAAAAATGTGCATGGTGGATTCAAATACAGGATGTATCGAGATACTTATAGGTATATAGATACATGATGTACTTATCAGTAAATACAGGAACATTTTCACAACGGCGATGTTAAATTTGACAACGGCGGTGCGCCACTGTGCCTCTTATGTATAAGAAACCCTGCAAAAAGATAGTGATACAATCTATTCTTAGCATTTTGTGTTGAGAGTGGGTGGGTTATGTTCAACACACCACATCGGCAAACTACCACAAAAATGGCACACAATATTTTTGCGAGTAGTCGCCTTTGATTTAAACATCCCAATATATGCAAGCACAGAAAAGCAATCTTGGGCTTGTTTTAAAGGTCAGAAATAGGGTAATAGAATGCTGCATTCATGAACAAAATTATGTTGTTTCATACTCACGAAATAAGCGCATTTTTATCCTTTCATGGGAAATTACATTCAATAAATGCATTGTTAGAAAGAACGTTCACATAAATTGTAACAATATAGGGTATTGGCAATGACTTGCAATAACTTGTAACAATATAGGGTATTGAAAATGACTTGCAATAGTTTGTAACAAAATAGGGTATTGGCAATGACTTGCAATACCTTGTAACAATATAGGGTATTGAGTCTATTGACAATAACTTGCAATCGTTTTCATAATGATCTGTTGTGTAATGAAACAGGACTACTACCAACCACCCTTTTCTGGCTATTGGCACAATGCAAAAACAGTCAACTTGGCACTGAGTATAATGTGCATTGTCTTTTCTAAATAAAACTTGCTGTGTGCACTGTCGCTTATGTATTGATTCAAAGGTAACTTACCTTAGTCAGCACGAGTTGCACAAGCCAGCAAATTTTAACCAGTATTGACGGCTAGAGCACAACTAATCGCTTTACTACAGTTATACTAGTTATACTATATAGTAGATTATAAAGTGGTAATTATAAAATTAGAAAGTAATGTGAGCAACTCAAAGTTAATTTATAACCACATTATTATCATTATAGTTACACAAGTTCAATAGCATATGCAGACACAATACTGTTTCAATATAGATGTAGATATATGTACTGGTAGTACTGGTACTATAAGTAACTAAGATATTTATTTAATTTATTTGATGATGTCACATGTCATCACAGTAGGGTCCCCGAGAGGTCAAATTATGCCTACCACTTACCTTTGTTAGGACCTTACCTCATGTGAAATATCAAAGTAATTGGTTGAGAAATGTAGATGATATGACTAATTAAGTCAATAAGCAATGTAAAATGCCAAAAAATGTGCTGTTTTGCCCTTAAACCTTGCAATACCTAAGGATACACTAGGTTTTACACAAAATTTCTTTGAATTTTAATTTTCAATGTTATTCTATAGTTAACACCAGATGCCACCTCTGTACATGCTTATTTCTCCATATATAAATGCAAGAGCTAATAATACCTAAGGTATTATTATCTCTTGATAAATGTATATGAGCTTTCAGAGTGCTTTGACTGCCCACGTACGTGTGCAGTGAGACGTGGCCCTTTAACACGGCGTGTTCTCACAGCAAAATGCATAGATATACCTACTGTGAGCCCATCTATATTGTACAAATTTACTACAACTCATTTGTATTGCTACTTTCATAACATTTTTCCAGCAAACCTAAACAGTTAGTTGTTTGAAATAGTTTCAAATTACTTAACTAATTTAATGGAAGCATTACTGTTGGTTGATTGCATATTCACAGTATAAATATTGGTAAGCACTTATTTCCATCCCTCAAACCGCCCTTCCGGTCTGCAGGTTCCACCGCCGCGGCGCGAATTTTTTTTCCACAACAGTTTTTTTCCTAACCCTAACCTTAACCCTAACCCTAATCCCAACACTAACCCTAACCCTAATCCTAACCTAACCTAACCCTAAACGCCTAACGCCTAATGCGCCGCGGCGGTGGGACATGCACACCGGAACTAGGGCGGTTTGAGGGATGGAAATAAGTGCTTACCATAAATATTGCTGCATAAAATTTGTTGTTAAATGTGTTTTTAACTGTGTCAAAAAAATTTTGCACAAGGGAGAGATAGTGATCCGCTAGGGGACGGCTCTGATTGGCTAATTTGGTCTCTTATTTAATTTTATTATTTTTGGCTAATTTTGTTTTATTTTAGAATTAGGGTTAGGGTTAGGGTTATGGTTAACTGATTTCTATGTCCACAACACACTAATAATGCGCCATGATCTAGCGGATCACTATCTCTCCCCTGAGACCTACTAGTTTCAAAACTGTCGATGATTGTTTGATTATAATACTGGTGACACTGCTATTTATTCTGCTGTAGCAAAGTTGCACACATTTAGTTTTCAAACGTGCGCACAACTGACCGAGACTGTTTGATTATTTGACAATATTATCAAAATTATTGAAATATAGGCTGGATCCCAGTAATGAACAGTAAGCCCTGGCACATTGTCAAGCTTAAAATTTGTAGAGCTGCTGCTCAGTGGCGCCACCTTTTCTCATGATATATAGAAACATTGTTTACCCACGCAACTGTCACTTGCACTGCATTTGCACTGCACTGCATTTGCACTGCACTGCACTGCACTTGCACAGGCACTTGGAATGTTTCAATAATCAAATTATGGTAAATAAATACGAAATGTATTTACTACCAGTCTTAATGTTTCTCTACTCTCTGTCGCCTATTATTAGTATTAATTTTTCTGTAAATGCCATTCAAATGCTTCTCTGCAACACAATTTCATTATACAAATACCGTTGTGCACAAACAACAAAGGACATTTGTTGTTTTTCACCTCTACATATTTGTTGTTTGTGAACAACAGCGTTTGTGCAGTGAAATTGTGTTGCAGAGGAGCATTGACCGGCATTTACAGAAAGTTGATACTAATAATAGGCAAAAGATATTTATTATTGAAACATTGCAAGTGCTGCTAAGAGGGTCTATGTCCCCCAGGTTACAGGGTATGTTCCGGTATGCCGGAACGTACCCTGGTACTATCTAATATGCCAGACCGTACCTCGCCTACTCCACTAACGAGTCTAGGGAGTCGCCTACTCCCTAACCCTAAGGGTACGTTCCGGTATACCGGACCGTACCCAGGGTACGTTCCGGCAGTACCCTGGGGGACATAGACCCTATGAGCGCAAGTGCCTGTGTCCCAGTTGTGTGCTTGGTATCACTGAAAGGTTGTTGAGTGTCAAAGTCATTGGTCATTTTAGTTGTACCTAATATTGTTATTTTAGATGTTATTAATCTGCCCTTTTAAACTGGTTATAATTTTTCAATAGACAGGCACTTACATGATCCTGAGGATGCAGTATTACCAGGGTCCAACCTGTATCTTGTATTTCAGGATTCGTTTCAGTTAGATTAGGCATGTGCTTATCATAAACAAAGTAGTCTAGGTAAATAGTAGTTAGGCTGAGAGGGTCTATGTCCCCCAGGGTACTGCCGGAACGTACCCTGGTACGATCTAATATGCCGGACCGTACCTCGCCTACTCCACTAACGAGTCTAGGGAGTCGCCTACGCCTACTCCCTAACCCTAACCCTAACCATATCAAAAAGGTTCGTTCCGGCAGTACCCTGGGGTACATAGACCCTATGAGCAGTAGTTAGGTCAACATTAAAATTACACGTCTTTGATTAACTACTGGTCTAAAATGTGTAATATAGAAATTCAAAAGCACAACTTCATCGGGGTTCAGTTGAGTAAGTACTGTGTTGTGGTGGCCCATATTTCTTTCATTGATTCTTATTTCTTCATTCATTCATTCATATCATTGATGTCTAATAACAAAAGTGAATGTCTGATATAAAAAACGTGTAGGTGTGTTCTATTTTTTACATAATACATATTATATACTCACACATTCTAATAAAACAACAAGGCCATAATAAAATATATTGTTTGTTTGCCCTCACCCGACCGACCCGCCAAAAAGGCGGAAAAAATGTTATTGATTTTTTTTTCTTTTTTTTTAACAAATTGTATCACTGTACATTATATAAATCTGTAGGCAATACATTATATGTACCAAGCAAAAGAAACATTCAACATAAAAGGTATCTCCACACAAGCACACCCGAGCATGTAGACACCACGCTGAATTTGTAAAAAGACCCCCGCCCTCAAAAAAAGAAAAGAAAAGCCAACCTACCTACCCAAACTTTTCAACCTGGGTCGGGTGAGGGCAAAAAAGTATTTTTTTTAATTGTGGCCCAACTACATAAATAAGATCTTATCTTATATGATGCTATTATCTTATTGTAAATAGTGATTTTTTTCTATTTAACATAGTGTGCTTGTCATATCGAAATCTCCAGTGTTAGTCATGGCAACACGAATTTCTCTGGTTCATGTTGAGTAATCTTACTCAGGATTCAGAGTATATGTTTGAGAGAACTGCTCTGTTTTGATTACACTTGCGAGAAATCTGTGAGTATTTTTTATTGGAATAGATTGCTTATAGCTGTGTTAATCTGATGATATCATCGACACTAAAAAAGTTTTGTTTGTTGTGTTTAGGTGATATGCTGACTCACTTGTGATGGCAGAGTTACATATATTAGGGCAGATAGTTGGAGCAAGTGGGTTTCCAGACCACAGTCTGTTCTGCAAGTGGGGAATTCATGCAGGTATCACATTAATCATGCTCTGCACCATTTTGGTATAGAGAAAGTTGCCACATGTGAGTCGTTTATACTTCCATGTTTTCAGTATTCGTCATGCAGCCTTTTTCACCACTATCTGCCCTTTCCTCAACTAGCCAGCTCAAGACAAGCTCCATATTTTGTTGAAATCATAAAACAGTAGAATACTGTAGTCATATTGTTAGGCCAGTTAAGGATACATTAAAGCTTGTGCACAGGTATTGCTCTAATGAAGAGTAAACGTTTATTGACCAGTTTCATTTATAGATGAGATGTATCTCTATCATGCTCATGCAGAAAATTTTTATGTAATTTCCAACAATGTTACAACAGAAATGGTAAAAATGGTATTTTCGATATTTGTCAATTACCACAGTGTGAAAGCAAAATTTTCGTCACAAGTTAAGCACAATATGCAGCAAAATCGCACTTCAGGGTTTTTTCTCAAAGTTTCATATTAACCGAAAAAATATATGAAAAAACTGCCTAAAATTTACGTCGTATGTTCAGCTTGAAAATTTATGCAAATAAAGAACCATAACTTATAAAAAATAGCACTTAATATCAAATCCCGACCTAAACCTTGAGTGTATCCTTAATCTTGTGAACTTCATTTTTCTTATGCAGGAGGAGCATGGAAAGTACTAGCAGGTTTACGTGAGGGCCAAACACAAGTGGACAATCCACAGAATGAAGACTTTGCGGTTTGGGCGCATCCTGTTGATGTACACTTTGCTACTAAAGGCCTGCAGGGTAAGAAGTTGTGCCAGTGTTAGTGTTAGGCTAGGAGTGTCAAAATAGCAAGGTTTGCTGACTTCAACCATCGATCAGCAGACTTGAATGAATCATTTTTATTATTGATACTCTGAAGGTGTAAAGCAGTGAACTTCATAACCGATGTGTTGGGCCCTGCAAGAAAGGTGGTTCACTTGATCTGCCTTGTTTGTTCTTCTTTCAACATACCAACAGATTTGAATGTAATAGTAACCTTCTTGTTTGGATAATTTTTAAACTCGGTACCTGTACTTCACATACATGTGTAGGCCTA